CAATACACAAAGAGTCGAGCCAAACTCACTACTCGTAGGTAGACTAAAAGTCGAAGCTAAGGGGAAAAACCCCGACGCGTAAGGCTCAACTCGAAGAACTGACAGTTCTTCGAGTTTGCCACGAATATAACCCACGGGAGGTGTCGACACCATCCAACGTTCCTCGCCCGTCTGCCGCGGCCCAACGTTAGCCGACTCCCAACGTTCCCCAACTCCAATTCGAACTCAACGAGTCTCAACTCAAATCGACCCAACGTCTCGAGCCATGACAAGTACCCTAATTTAGAACGATGTCGCATATTGTCGAAAGTGGAGTGATTAAGTTCCCAGTGTGTCAGAATTCGATTTTGTCATGAGAGACTTTAGACAACAGAAGAATCAGTTATCTCCCGACTCGCTTGAAGGCGCAACTCCTAGCGTAGCTTCGATTCACGAAGAGTACGGTCGCTTAAGTTTGCTTATTCGGCAGTTAGTTGATTTTATATAATTCTTGGAATGGCTTTACGGTTGGAAGATAGATTTTGTGGCGAGACAAAAAGCTTTTATGCATTTCGCTTATCGCACCAGTCTTGGATACTCGTTAGATTGGGACAGACAAACAAATGTGAAATATCTGGTACGCATGGTCCACTGTTGTCTCCAAACCAGGATGAGTCGTCGTTGGAAAGATGAAGTTATTGGATGCCCGAGTCTACTGTAAGTAGACATGGAAACCTGCTATACTAGTTTACGTCTCTTGGAAGTTTGATATTAAGATGTTGTACCATGATTCTTTCTCCCTTTAGCAACAACTTATCAGGATAAAATGATGGGTTTCCATCACTATCAAACCGATTAGAAGCGCATCCGTATTTGTACACTCGAATCACTCGAAGTTCAACTTTAATAGATTCTTATTCCATTACAAATTCTCGTCTCGTTCCTTGCCATCGTACACAATTACATTATGCAAATTCTCAGTCTTCCGTACCAAGTATATTTTGACAAAAATAATTATCCTACTTCCTTTTCTAGCCACCTATTCAAATGTCTAGTGAAGACCGCCGATGTTGATCGTATATGACTACACAATTTATGTTGAAGGAAGAGGTTTGCAATATATGGAAAACATTGCTGCATCGAGTTTATAGGGGGTTGATATGCGTCGGTTTCTAGATGTACTTCTGTTTGGGGAATTCTGATGAGCTCGTTCAGATTCATAATCCTCATGAGATCCATTATAGCTACGATCTGAAGGTGCTTGATCTGAAGGTGAAGATGACTATAGCGGGGCGAGAGAGTAGAGGAAGATACCAAAGAACATATGTAGATAGCGGATTGTCCATCTTCATTTTTCTATTATGCTATGGCGATTAGACCTTGTGGTGGTATGCTATGTACATAGCCTTTGATGGATGCACACGACTTTTTGCTTTCCTTGAAAGAAGGTTTTGATCGATCAGATCGAAGTCAGTGAAGTTTCCGGAGGCGGGTTGAGTATTGGAGAGCATCAGGAGTAGCTTATGACAAATCTACCATATCACAGTTTTCCAAAGTAGTATAATTCACATCTGTCGCATTTGAGATATCTCAAATTATGTAGTGTAACTAAAATAACTCTATATTCTCAAATATCACTTCCTTTAGAGAGTATTACACATACCCGTTTCTCTATCACCTCATGGATGATAATCACATCAAAACTTTAGTATATTGAATTCACCATCCGTGTGATACATCTCTCATGATCTACATTTTCAAAGTCAAGGTATGTTGTGAGCTTCGTCCAAAAAAAACCTCATCCAAATTGGTACACTATTTATCTGTTTATTTCTTATAGATCTAATTAAGTATCCCTCATGAAAAATATTTTTCAATGAATCCAATCACAACATCTATAATGTGGACGAAAACATTTCATTTGCATGTACATCCATTATTAACACTAGCCCCTCCTAAATTCAGTAAGCGCAAACCTCTTGTTCACATTTTGCATGTTATATTCAGAGAATATTACATAGCAAGTCATACTACTTGCTTCCTATTTTTTTCATCTTCCAAGAGCTATTTATTACTGCAGTGGGTTTTAAAACTCTCTCTTACCTAGGATTTTTGGTAAATTCTGGAGATACGTTTTTTCATGAAATGTATAGTGTCACGATAATCCTACTTCTGCAAGCATACCAAAAATGAAACCAACAACAAAAATCGAACTATATATATATATAGTTTTTTTTGTGAAAGAGAAGACTTTACTAGTGCAGCAAACAGATATTCTTTTAGGAGAAACACGGAGCAAATATCTACTTATGGGTCACTTGTGACTTCTACGTTTTGTCGCTTTGTATCACTATAATTCAAAGAGTGTGATAATGTGATCTTTTGCATTCCAACATTCAAAGAATTTACCTCATCTAATAACCAAAAAATGCAATTAAGAAAATATTCTATGAGATTAAACTCAATACACTCACGATTTATTCAATAGCTATCTTAATATGTAGAAAATCATGTGTAAATCAGACATAACCATTATAGTCGATGGTGTAGTTGGCACCATTTCCAGTGGAATTGACGTTAGAGCCAACATCATTGTTATGATATCTAAGTTTCAAGGTGTGGAGTTACTCGTATGAGGGTTGAGTTTTTGAAGTTGAGATTTAGAAAGCACTGCTATGATGGAGAGTATCTAATGCACGAATGTGGAAACTTTGAAGCACAAAGCAGGTTTGGTTGAAGTGTAAGATGATCTTTTCTAACATTGTGATGAGCTCAAAAATGATTTGATTTTTTTCTAGGGCTGAAAACTAGTTGTGGTACAGTGGTGGATGACAATATGTTCTGATATTTGATGTGATAGAGATGTATTTAATAATGCGATATATGTGTGCACTACAATTTACTATTGAATTATACCAATCTCTCAACTGCAAATCAAAATCTAGGCAATAAACACTTCAATATTCTAGAACTACTAGCAATCTTGCTCTAATGGTTGTATGTTGATATATTTCTTTAGTAGAAAATTCTAGGCTGAGTGAATTGTGTTGTAACTATTTCATCTAGCGTCCGTTATTTTTTTTCTACACTTGCAGTTTGATAATAAACAAGTTCAATTATCATTAATGCTATTCCTGTTTATAAGGAAAAAATGTCTAATATATCTGTCTAATGTAGTCTTAAATGGCTTCTACTAGTTTATGTCAGTTGTCTTGAGTTTGTGCTGAGCAAAAGCATCCGAAGCATTAGTGATTCTATATAATTAGTAATTATTCTATAATCTGTTTTTGATAAATATGTTATTTTTTACAAACCTCAAGTATCCTTGATATGAAGAGTTTTTTCAAGCTTTCACTTGGTAAGAAGATGCTGAGATTTCACTCAAACCATTGGGTGATATCTAAACTAAGTAGATCAATTAAATCGTGATTAATCTAAGGTTTAAAAAAATATATGATATCCCATACTATCGTTGTTATTTATATAGAAAATCAACCAATTATACCTTATACTATATGTTTAGATTATATGTAGATGTAAGAAGGTAAACTAAATAATTAGTTTAGTCTTAATGAAGAAGAGTTAACTAGAACTAATTTGGAGGCTAAAATATTTTCAATGTTTATTCATTTCTATAGTAATTCAGATATATATATAAAGTTGGATGATTTTCAAAAAATTTCATGAGGAAAATTCACTTGGTCACGCACTGAATACAAGAACCAACAAGAAAAAAATACACTAGACATACTTGATTCACCATTACAAATTATGTACGTGGAAAACCTAAATTTTCATAAGCTTTCTTATATTATAAAAATTTATTGAATCTAACTAAATATGGTAAAACTAACTTGGGATCAACGAAAACACGAGATGATGTTTAAAATTTAACCCAAAATTCATGTTGTAACCTACATAATTTATAAAATTACTTTACAATAATTTCCAGAAAGTTATTTTAAATAAGTATATAGAACTAGAACTAATCAGAAGTAAATCGTAGTTAAAACAAGATAGAGTAAAAAAGTATCTAGAGCTAACAAAATTACTAGTAAGTTTTATTTTTACTTTTCATAGAAAACTTGTAAAGAAGCACATGTCCCCCTAAAACCCTCTAGAGTATAAATTATGTCAATGCATCAATTGTATTGAGTTTAATGTAAATTTTGACTAATTCAACTTTATTACAACAAATTTCAATTTTGATAAAATGATATTTTTTGTAGATTTCTCTATTGTTCATTGCGTTGATATGATCACATGTAGGTTGGCCAGGGTATATAGTGTGAGATGGGTATACATAATTAGTTGGGTGTGGTTCCATGCGTATTAGTATTTGAGGATGATCGAGTGAGGATGACTCTTGATAGTATCCAACTTCATGTATGTGAGGGGTATACCATCTTGAATGACTCGAAGAACTCTTGAATTTGAGACTTCATCTTTGGAAGATAGTTAGATGATAGTACATGGATAGCAAAATTTTTGCTAGCATAGGCCAACATTCTCCTAATAATGGACTGAGCTTGGCTCTACTATTTGTGATTTTTCATTTTATGACATCAGGTCGTTAATGGAGTTTCTGCTTGTGTTACAATCGTATTTGTGTATGCTCTCGTCTACAATTTGTGTATATGTATAGTATGTCAGAGATGTATATTGTATGATGATGTATTTATACAAAAATGTGCATTGTATTTGTATATGTTCTCATCTACAATTTGTGTGTATGTCTGGTATATCAAGGATGTATATTATATGAAGATGTATATTCATAGGAAAATGTGCATTGTAACAAGATGTTACAAGTCATCTTACATCTTGCTACAAGTCACAAGATATAATTTTTTTTAATAATAATAATAATATTGATAACTTTTTATTTTAATGAAAAATATATTCAATCATATAACTCATCTTGCTGTTCTATTCAACTTAAAGAATACCATTACATTTTGACCTTCCATTGTAACCGGATCTCCATCTAGATATTATACATTTCAACTGAAAGAGTTAGCGTCATATGAAATGAAATACCGTATACCGTAAGTTACAGCTGATTTTAATTACACTATCAGGTCTAGTAAACAGTACATGAAAAGACGAATGCAAATCATCATTGTGCTGTACGATGTGATGTCTCTCACAAACATCTCCAGAACTGGATCCTCTTTTGTGTGACCAATGCTCCTGAGAATGGGGCTGTGCATCAAAGCACAGGATATAGATCACACTCGCAGTAAAGTGGCATGATACACACACTCACAGGAAAGCAAAGAAATCCTTCCAATCGCGTTCATTCTTCTAAACAAGCAATCAGGATATTATACTGTTGAGAGAGCTTCTACACTTTGAACCCAATGAGGAAATTATCTACCTAATGAGAAAGGGTCTAAAGAAATGTACAGTACGGTGCTTGAAACTGATGAACTCGGCAAAAGCTCTTGCTTCTGAGTCCCGGCCCTTCTGGAAAACAGCAAAATCGTTTCTTGTTGATCTAAGAGCCAAGGCTGCTTAATACCGATTCTTAATTTGTTCCTATGGAGAATACCTCGAATTCCTGCTTCGCTGTCCAGTTTTGATCACCTGTGAGTAGCCCATGCATTAGCTAGTGGCCGGACTGCCAGATTTATTATAAGCTTTTACAGTATAGAATGTCTGAAGGAATGTCAAGACGAGCAGGGCGAATGCAGCGACCACCGAGGCAGTAAACCACGGCCGACCAAAATAAATTTGTACGAACTCTACCCACAACTGCCGCTTGTCATTGTTATAGAAGCTATGAATGTCCTTCCGTAGTGTGGCCCATTGTTTGGAAATGGGCACATCGTTGGAGGAATGCAGCAGTGAGTTGAAGATGTTGGCCACGTCGATGTCACTGCTTAGGAGAGACAATTCGATGACCGACAGTTTTCTCTCTTTCAGGAGGAGAACGTCCTCCTCCGTGTCGATGAGTTGATCCATGAAGGACAGGTAGCACATCAGGTCTCCTTTCTTCAGCACTCTGCTCTCGAATTCAAGCAGATTCCTCAGAATCGTCTCCGTCCAGGGCGTGATGCGCAGCTGCGGAACTATGAGAGTCGCTGTGAAAATTCCTCTCTTAAATCGGACGTCGTTTATGCTTCCAGAGCCTCTGACAATACTGATGCCGGCCTTCTGGAGCTGCGTGGCTGTGGCTATGGGATGCGTGGCATCTTTCTCCTCAGGCCACTCCCATGTATTATGTTGCAGAGCTCCCCAGTACACGCATTCGAGAAGATGGCTGTAATCTGCAGTTTGTATCGGTGGGGCGCGATCGTAATGGTCGGATGGCCCGGGCAGAACGTACCGCATCAACCCACACACCACTTCGGCTATGCCGCTGAGCACCCGAACCGCCGTCGAGGGTTTACTCTCCACCGAGTTCAAAGGCAATTCCTCGATCTCGAGAGTTACGCTGTTGGGATCAGCTGGGAAGTACAGCGAAGATGAACTCTGGGCCTCCTTACTTCCTTCCATGGGACGACTCTGATACATAATCTCCACTACCCTCGTGATGAGCTGGAGCGGAATCTGATTCTGGAAGATGGCCAGGATGTCGAGCATGACTCCGGAGCTGCTCTTCCTCAAGCCACGATCTTGCACCACCTCTGCTATTTCCGCAAAGCGAGGCTGCACCGAGTGGCCTTCTGATCCATGGACGTCCCAGAGAGTGTGCAATATGCAGGTCACGAAGACTGCGTCTAGAGTGAGGATGTTTCGGACTGCCTGTGGATCGTCTATTGGGCAGTCATCGTAAATGTTCTTCATATCCTCAGGGCTCTCGACCACCAGTTGACAAATTTCTGTCCAGCTCTTTTTTACAGTTTCTTGGAAGACCACCGCCATCTCCAGCTTGATTTCGAGTTTGTACCTGTCGATGGTAGTCGATTCCTTCACCTGAATGTCCTTGTTGTACAGACCCAGAGAGATGTACGTTGGCGAGTACTGCTCTGAATGATTCGAGCGAGTCGAGGGGCGGAAGATTGTCGGATTCGCTGTACTCCGAGCTCGTTTCATTTTAGCCATCAGCTCATCCATCAGATCTATGCGCTCCAAATGCAGAACGTGTTCCATCTTCTGCTTCCTGCTAGCCATCATGTACCCACTACTACTACTACTTTCGCCCTGAAAATCCAGACCCATCTTCTACTTCCTGCTAGCCATCATGTACCATCTACTACTACTACTTTCGCCCTGAAAATCCAGACCAAAGTGTCGACCACGCACAAATCTTCATCAGCACATCCACTCTCTGTTATCAAACTAAACCTAATTAATTGCCCTCGATCTCGAAACAATTGTGTTCTTCACCGTTCGTTTGTTGCTCCTCGGGTTTGAGATCATCAGCAACCCCCTGCCTTCCTAGTTGCTTACCAATTTTCTGAAAGCTTCTGAATCTGCCCTCGGACTGGTCAGCTGTGAAGTGTAAACCTCAGACGCTGTGATCCAGCATACCCAGAGATCGTGGAAACGACAGTTCTATGCAAACAAGGCTCAAAAGTCAACACGGCCTCTGAAGTCTCTGACCTTTTCGTACGCGTCGGGGATCTAGGATTGGGCCAGCTCGATGTGGAGAAAGGAGTCAAAGTCTGCAGCATGTGCACAAGAAATCATCAAGTACTTCAGGAATTACCACGTCACATCCCTGGCTCAGGACTCGAATCATTTCAGCTTCCCTTTATCCCCCCTGAACTCTTAATTTAGTCAGAGCAGATTGACGAGCTGTAACCAACCGCGAAATGAGGCTCCCTGATCCCACAAAGTCCACCAAAAGTGATCGCTTTCGTTTGACCTACTCTGCATCCGAGAGCGCTTTAGAAACGATCTATCTCATCGTTCCAATGGCAGTATTTTAATAGCTTCCTGATTTACTATTATCGAGTGTAAACAGTAGAGAGAGGTGATTGGCATCGGAGTTTCCAAGATGGAGGGAGGTATATGCTGCTCGTTCGCATCCTCGCATTCCTTATGACGAAATTACAGGGAAGTGATCACTGTCGAACATCTTCTCCGACTCATCCGACTCCGAAAATCTCAACCACACGTTTGATAGTGTCCTGGGGATGTTTCTCTTCCCACGTTCTGAGCCTCTGTCAACTTGTTTGCGGTGAATAACATCAAAGAGCTTCGGAGTTCTCTGAGAGTTGACACGAATATGGCAGAAAAGTAGACGAACTCCTTCCGTTGACTTCTATAAAAAGTTGTACCTGTGCGCAGCATATAGATCCAGGAGTTCTTCAATCAAAACGACATTGCACCTCCGGGAAACTGCGCAGATGTCTGTTGATGAAACAACTTGGTTTCACCGTAGCTTTCCATCGGTTCGAGATTAGAGGACTGAATGTTACTTCACTCTTTCTACGTTTGCACACACAGCAGCAGCGATGAAAGTGAGCTCACGCATGGAGGGAGAAGCGTGTTTTTCTTCTGTCTTAGTCCGAGTCCAGCGCTTATATCTTTCGAAGAATGCATCGTCAAAGGGATGAATCAATTACTTCACCTATGCATCTAAAAAACGCCAGAACTGCGCTGTTTATTTTCAAAAGCCTGTGTTGGCTCCGGGATGCATGGACATCTTCTGGGGTTGGCCCGTCTCAGTAGTTTAGAGACGGGCCAACCCCCCAAGGCGATGGCCTCAGTAGCCCGCCATGAAAGCTTCGAGCCTGGATCTTCAATCAGACTACGTTGAACCCGTCCTTAGTTGGACCCCACCACACCATGCCCTGTGCACCTGAGCTTCCTCCGGAGCTACCGTTGTTGCAATATCTGTGGATACCCGCCAGACTTGTCTTTGTCGTTCATGTCCATATCTTCAGGATTGCCTTTTGGATGGGACTGCTTGGAAGCCGCACCATTGTACTTCAATTTGCTCTTGACGAGTGTCCGTCTGTACTGCAGAGTCAGTAGATCGTGCATGCTTGCTTTTACCCGGCCGCCTCGTATCACAACAACATACCGAAGATTGTGGGATCTCACCCACAAATTTTGCTTGGAGGCTCCAGTGGAGTCTGGAAAAGATTGTAGATGAATGCACAATCTCTCCCAGTTCTGCCACCCTGGATTTGCTATTGTGTTGAGTACTGGCTAAATATTGCTCGTCTCTGCTGAGGTCTTCCTCTTTTCGTAAGATTGTTCCTCTCGGGCACCGTGCTCTCTCGGAAGGAGTAAAACAAACCTCGACCTTCACCCGATGTTCTGATCGGAACACGCCAAAGTAGCTGGTTTCATTCCGTGTTCATCTCATCCATTCATCCATTCCACGCTCACTGGGACCCTTCCCTCACTGTAGACCCTTTCCTCTGTCTGGACCATCAGGTCCAGACAAAGGATTCTGAGCCATCTGTCCGCACCATCGGGTCCAGACAAATGATCACAAATAGGTCGAAAGACGATACTTGGCATTTCAGAATGCACCGCACCTGAACTTCTCGTTGGTTCGCTTACAGCATCAGTTGAAGGGTGACGTGCCCTCGGATGTTACCGGTGTTAGAGACACTCTTGTAAGCTTTCAAGTTACTATTTCTCATGAAGGTCGGATGAAGATGATGATTCTACTAGAGCAAGTACTTTGAAATTCCTATAACCGGACATAGGGAAAGCTAACAAAGTAAAACCCCTCCAAAGGCTTTTGTTGGCCTTGGGCCAACAAAAGCCTTTTAATTCAGAGAGGTAAATCCATTTCTAGAACATTCCGGCAAGTCTCATGACATTCTTTTTGTTTCTGAGGAATTCATTTAGCTTCCTTCACATTCCACGCTGCTGGCAGGCCAGCACTTGCAAGCTGGGGTCCACAAGCTGCATGCCTACTGGTTGCAACAGTCTGAGTGCAATCCTGACTTTCCATAAGTTCTCCAAAATATGAAGTATGAGGTTGCCATCATCCAGCACAATAGTCTCATTTATGTAATGCAGTAAAACCACTTTTAATTAATATCCTTGGGCCAACAAAAGCCTGATAATTGAGAGGGGTTATTAATTCAGAGAGGTTCCACCATTTCCAGAACATTCCGGTTTTCCACGCTGCTGGCAGCCCCAGCACCTACAAGTTGCAACAGTTTGAGTGCAATCCTGACTTTCCATCCGTTCTCCGAAATATGAAGTATCAGGTTGCCATCATCCAGCACAATAGTCTTGTTTATGTAGGCGATATTAAAACAGAAAATGCTCGGGGACAGGTTTGATCTTATTAAATATTAGAAGCTAATATTTGGATGGGTCTCGAGTCCGGGACTCGAAAAATGTATTAATCAAGATGGGTTATTAATTCAGAGGGGATCAGTTAAGAGGGGTTCTACTGTACTACACTCTATATTCAGCAACAGTGAGAGGTAAGAACCCTCTATCTAGATCTCCCCCAACTTAGAAATAAGCTGAACTTCTCAGAGTGTGTTGGATTGTGAGGTGTGATGTATACCTCAGATATCACTAGCAAGATATGTATTTGATCCCTGAAGCTTTATTTAGTTTGAACCCTTAATATAGAATTTTCGGTCTCAACTTTGAGAATCAAATTGCAACACAAGAATTCAAACCTTAAACAATAGTGGCTGATGACTAGGTGGTGCCAAGGAAACTACCGAAAATTTACTGCTAATACTAAATAACTAGATTTTGTGGAGTGATCGATTGTAGTGTAGTCAAGCCTGTCAATGACTACTTAAAATCTGATGACGGTCAATGACGGTCAATTGATGACTGTTCATCAGATGTGTTCTACATCAATCCAGAGGACCTCGATGATTGGTGCTAGTAAAATCTTCCATGTTTTACAACAGATTTCAGGTCGGAGACAATTCATCTCAGGGCTACCATGTCTTAGTTGCCCAAGCAACCAAGCTATTAGAAGAATTAAGAACTAAGAATTTTTATGCAGGAACTTTCCATGCCGCTGCCGGTGGGTCCTATGGGGCATCTTGTCCTTGGCCACGGAACTCCCGTACCGCCAGTCTTGTAGCTTTGGATCTCTCCAAATGGCAGAACGGGGGATGTCAGAGTCAAGTCAGCCTTTGTACGTGTTATCGAGAGCGGGTGCATGCGGTCCGAGGGCCCTGGAGCTCGTACTCCCACCTACACTTCAGGCTGGTGTTGGATTTCCCAGTTTACGGATCGTGAGGCAAAGTCTGAGCAGGAGTCTCATGTAGCTCACTGTCTGCGTTAGCCTCCGTGTTCCCAGCACGGAGGATCGGCGAGAATCACTGTCTGCTTATCGGGCCAGCAACAGCTTTAAGATAAGTACCGCCGAAATTTGAAGGACCCGCACATCCTACGTCGCCTGGAGTCGAGCGAATTGTACGATGGTACAGAGATCGTCGGTAGGGGAAGTCCGTAGCTTAAGGAGCTTGATTGTGGACGCTCTCGTCATTCTGTCAGTGATTGCTCAAAGTCCGAGAGCTGGTTCGAAGCCGGTGCAGGGGAACAGAGGAGATGAATATCTAGCACTCATTGAGGACAGTGTCCAGAAGCTTGCCGATAAGCTCGCGGAGATTTATCCGTCAGAATGCGGTGAGTGATAGGTCCAACAGCAATTGAACCATTCATTTCCGATGTATTCAGAGCCGGCCGACTCGGTGAGATTTCTGCCGAGAAAAATCCATCAATTAGATCTCAAGAGAAGATTCTGCTCGACATTTACTGCGAAAATCGAGATCTCATGTTCGAAGAGTTAGTCTCGCTGGGAGAGAGAAAAGAGAGAACCTGTCTTTTCGGAGCTCTCTCTCTCTCTCTCTGCACCATGGCACGGTCAGGTTGTGTGTGGTGCAAGTCTCAATCGTTGTTTTTCTTCAACGGACTGCAGATGCAGATGATCCAGAGCCTTGTGGCTTGTGCACACAAGACGAATGCCGTCCTCTGAATGGCAGCCCCGTTTGTGCCAACGTGACTAGAGTGAGTACCTTACAGACTTCCAGCGACTTTCCTTCGTTGCAGGGGTTAAGCCTTAAATGCACTTCTTGCTCTTTGGCCTTGGGACAGAGCACTCTGCTTTTCAATGCGCCCTTCGTGTTCCTGCGAGCCGTCCACTTATCTCCACAGCTCCGAGCACAGTCGTTGGAGTTTGGATCTGCAATAATAATCATAAGTTGATAATACATAATCCTTTCTTCATGCTTATTTTTTGGCAATGAACGCACTCTTCTGAAGCGATTCCAGATTGTACAGTAGATCAAGCAAACGCTAACAAATTGAGTGCTAGAAAGAGCGAATTTCGGCAGATGTCGGAATCTATTAAATCGCTCGAGCTGATTCAAATGCATCAAGTCTACCATACGCAGAATCCGCGGTGCAACGCGTATTATCCCGGTTGTCCTTCTTCGATACGGGTCACAAGGGAACGGAGTGGCTTGGCATATCCGAGGTAATTGCTCCCGACCTCACTCACCTTTCCGGTCCAGCCTCATATTCGATTCACCATATGCCCTCAGCCTCAGCATATCAGTGTGTACACTGACGATTTCCAAGCCTAGGGCGTCTCATTCAACATCTGTTTCCGTGAAGTCATGATCGTTGACTTGGTGCCCTCCACATGTCCTGAGCTGATCTGATCTGATCACTGTCTAAGTGGGCTGGTGCGGTCTTGCCACACATCTAGAAGATTATTACAACCTAAATTACGTAAAATCTTGTCAGAGCCTTTTGTTGGAACAGTCTTACTGCTCGACTCAGACTCCGGAATTTTCTTCGTGTGATTTTTTGGGAGACGATTCGTTTGACTGTGTGCAGGGAAAGTATCGATGCTCTCCCGGACCGAGCTCAGACTCGGACCATTTGTAGAACACAGGGACTCGATGCCACCTTCATGGAGCTTTTCGAGCGGAATCCCCATTTCGCGGACTACTACGTTGGCTTCCCTGATGGAACCCGTCGAAGCTACCCCGGAAGAGTGAGCTCCAAACATGACTCTGCAGCTTTCTGATTCAGGTGTCTGATGGAAGATGTAAATTCTGGATATGCGTTTGAGGTTGCGAGGGATATATTCGTATACAGCATGTCTGAATTGTCGAGTTCGAGCTGTCCATCTTCGGAAGCTGCCTGCAAGCGAGAGGTGACGATTTGAAGATGTGATCGATCCTCGGATGTCATGTGTGATGCTAAATTCTAGATGTTCATGAACCTTCGTTACTTTTTGCAGGAAGAGGCGGACGAGAACTCGCTCTATTCGTGCACGTCTTATGATTGCAGGAAGCGCCCGTGGTACAACTCCGCCATCAGCAATCAAAATCACCTCGTGATTTTGGTGGACTCCAGAAAAGTCCCCCTGGATCCATCCTTCACCGAAAGCGGGGACACGCTGAGCTTGGCCAAACAGTACGCCAAAGCTCTTCTCGATACGGTGTACTACGAAGACCGAATCAATGTCGTGCCTTTCGATTCAAACCCGAAGGCTAAAGCTCTGAAAAGCTCTTCAGTAAGTGATCCAATGCCAGAAGTATCGCATTCGATCATAGCTTTCTGTAGCCATGCAATCCCACGCGCAACATCAGAGCTCTGAGACCGACCGAGCGAATCAGGTTCCCCTCGAAGGGAAACTGAACGACCTCGAGGCTAACATTGTGCATCTGTGGGCGCACAGGTCGTCGTAGGATTCAACGATACAGATCCGCAGAATCACGCGGAGCTGACCGGTTTGAGGAGGAAGATCGATGAAATACTTCCGGCTGAAGATGACGTGAGGCTGACATCCTCCAACTTGACAAGCGGACTGCAAGAAGCCCTGGGGCTTTTCGCTGCGGCGGAGACGGCCGACAAGATGACCAAGAACGTCATCGTTTTCACCAACGGCGACATTTTGCACGACGAGGCACTGAACGAAACTCTCGACGAGATCTCCAGCAGCCTCGTCAGACTCTTCATTTTCAGTATCAAGAGCTCCAAGAGCACCGACGAGAACCTTCAGATTCTCAGTGCTCTGGCTGACAGAACACGCGGAATTCATGTCACCCTGGCGAGCACTCGGAACCCGCTCTACCAAATTCGCTCGTACTTCGGTTACCAGGCCTTGATGCAGAAGCTCTCGGGTCGTTCCATGCCTTTCTGGACACCCGCGTACGCAGATTACTACGACATCGGAAAAATCATTACAGTCACGGTACCAGGTAACTCGAATTTTCTCTCCCGGCGTCACAATCCACGTTCTGATTTCTGCTCGACATGAACTGTGCTCCGTAGATATTTGTATCATGGTCATCTGCATCACGGCAGTCGGGATATAGAACCGGTTCCATTGCACTGTATTTCTCGAATGGCGATGCAAGCTGGGCGTAAGAGATACACAGGTTTCCTTACCTCTGGTCTGTTCTGCTTGGGCAGCATTCTCCACGACGGTTCCAACGAGGTTCATCGGAGTGGCGGCCATTGACGTCCTGTATATGGAGATTGGAGACATCAAGAATGACTTCCAACGAGCTTTGTATAATCGTCCATCTCAGAAAGGTGTAATTGACAAAATGATATTCGACTCCACGAGACCCTACGAAGTAAGTCAGTGGACATACACTTAATCAAGTATCGAATGCCTGGTTTATATACAGCCTAACAACTGAGATGTCAAGCACAAACAATTACCTCCAAACTCGGCAGTGGTTCAAGCTTTCTAGAGGATACAGGATTTCACTCTCTCACTCTCACACTCTGTCTAAAAATTCGTAGTACCTTTGCAGGATGAATTTGGTGACTCGTGTATCGACTTGACGACGGATGCGAGTGCAATGGCGATGTGCAAGACAGAGAAACAAATCGATCCAACACAGAACTTTCTCGATCGCTTATGTTGTGACAATTGTGCCGGATCAGAGAGCAAGCCCAGACTTTGGATCTATGTTGTCAGTATAGTAAGCGGTGTTCTCATTCTGTCTTTGGTTGGGATTAGTGTATGTGTTTATGTAAAGAGAAGGTCACCGGCTCCGAAGATTGAAACCGACTCCAGTCTTCATGATGGCAGTTCTCAAGGGATACTTCCGAGACAAGATTCAGGCAAGGCCGCTAAGAGGATGGTCAACGACAACATGCAGGGTGGGACACCGCACAGAATACATCAAACTCTCTCCAGACTCTGCGTGGAGAAACTCCCAGAGCCGAATGCGAAGTTGTAAAAACGTGGTAGATTAGTGCACAGCGAATGCCTGACGGTTTTTCCATGTTTGTGGACCGTGTCCATCGTTTTTATCGACGCTCATTTGTGTCCGTGTGTAATTAAGCTTCTGAGCAGTATCAGTTAGTTACGAGATTTTTTTCAATCGTTGGATACATTATTCATCCACGACTTCTACTTATAGGTTGAAATCAAGAGGTCAGACCTCCTGATTCCTACTAGATACATTTTTGTTACCAATAACTAGGAGCACTGAAGGGTGTACATTTCGGTTGTGGCTAGTGAGTGTCTTTGGACCTCTTCCATGGCTTCACTGTGCATCACGGTGCAGGGAGAGTGCATTTCCAATTCATATCGACTGATGCAATCCGCAATCTCTGCTCTGCTGCAGTGTTTATGAACGATAATACTTTCATGTAGGAAGGTGCAAGCTTCAAGACTTTATTGCAAGGTGGTAAGAGATTTGCACTTTTGTGCTTCTGGGCAGTGATGTGATGTGCGAGTGTTCTAGATGACGACGAGCTGTGCATCATGGTGATGCTGAGGTTTGACCAACTGGTTTCCTGCCTGCAAGTCACTGGCTTCGTGTCTCCTTGCCACCTTGTTCATTAACACCTCCGACTAACCTTCGTGAAGGCGACACTCGGACGAATTTTATTGCTACTGGAAGAAATAATTTGTGGACTTGTGTCATAAGCAAATCGTTTCTTGATGCCATCTTTCCGTGGGCCAAGTGCTTGATTCTTATCCTTTGATATCACGTGGGCCAAGTGCTTTCATACTTATATTATAAGTATGAAAGCATATGGGAACTCACACCAAAGTATCTTAAAATTCTATGTTCTTAACAATACCAGTTTGCTAGTTTGATAAGAAAAAGATATGAATTTAGTTAAGTATTACATTTATATGATATTTTTTTGAAATTTCTTTTTTAGATGATTTTAATTTTAAATATAATTAAATAATTTTATTTAAATAAAAATTTTAAAGAATTACATCTTAATTTATTTTCATGTTTATAATTTGAATTTATTATAGAATTGTATATTGTATGACCTTAATTTACAAATTTTATTTTTTAAATTGAAATTTTTGTTATAACATTTTTTATTATAATAAAATAATCAATATTTTTCGTAATTTTATTAAAATATTTCTTAGACAACATATTATCAATTTAGAAGATGGGGATGAGCTCATTTTTGTTAAAATATGTATTTAAATTTACAATTAAGTACTTACAAATATATCACTTCATGTGATACATAGGATAAGTAAAATAATTCAAGTTTGAAATTAGACAACAAAATATAATTCAATTATAACTACACTAAGTGTATATGGATTGTAAAATTCAGTTGATTAGGTTTGGCTTAACACCGGAATCTAGTGATTAGAACATGCCTCATTAAAAGTGGAATTTTATTGATAAATGATAAATGCTTTGTTTGAAGCACATAAATAAGACACGGAAGATCATTCAGATTCTTCTCAACACAAATTAAACAGCAGTTTATTAGTGATAGATTTGAAGTTTATCTTCTCCAACTTTTTTTTTTCACTTGCAATGAAGAAATTGTGTTTTATCAAGTTTACATCATATCCTGTTTGAGAAGGTGAATATTCATCTATGTACACTTCATGTTGAGTTTTGATTACCTAGTTTTTTAGTTTCTAAGTTCTTATATCCTTCTACCTTCGAATTTCTTATCTGTCTACATATATATATGAATATGTCCGCTTCATCTATACTCATCATGAATTGTATGTTATAGTTTCTTGATCCCATCTGTTTGATGCCAACAACAGTAGAATCGGAAGCTGCCAGTTTCGACGATGAAATGGAACCGATCTAAAAGACTAAATATTGTGCATAGTGATTCTTTGGCTTCAATTGAGTCTTTACAAAGTCCATAGCAGACCAAGGGAGTGATTTTTTGGCTGCAATTGAATCTTAACTAAGTGCGTGGCAAATCAAGAGAGCAATTGCAATGTGTGTGAAACTGCTACACGTTCTTATAGTTTATTGACACGTAAAATGTCATTCGTTAAAGTACAGAAGATTCAATACGACCTGAAAGAAGGAAGTTTGGAAGATGGAATCTGTTCAATGTTAGTTTTGCGTCTTCAATGGAAGAAAGAGCCAGGAATGTATTTCACTTCTCGTTTTGATCCAAGGTATAAAAAAACATCTTAAGATGAAACAAGCAAATGATTGTATACCTTACTAGTATTTTTTCTCTAGAAGAGGAAGAAATGTTTTGATGAAAAACTAAACAGCATGATATATTCATGTATGGATCAAAAATTGAAGGTTGTCACTTTCAAACTCTCCTATGTGAAAATAGTCAATGAACTCTTCGGTCATTTTTTTTTCAAGCCACATTTGGATGAAAACAAAAATGAAATGGAAACGATCTCGAAGACTAACGCTATGAAGTTTTTCAAATTGGAAGTCAACAAGTAATTAGATAAGTATATCATCACTATCAAAAACTTGTTGCAATTTTGATTATCTATTGAGCATACAAAACGGATTTGTCGTTTAAGTAGATTGACTCTGTCATTATCCAACATTGCAATTGTAAGAAGAATGTTAAACTGGTCAAAATAATCAACCATATGTATAGCAATTTTGTCAAGATCATGCTTGGAGTTTCATTCAAACTAATATTTATCAATGCTATGCAAGTGGTTCGTGTGAGCGTTCTCGTTCACACCTAATTGTTCAACACATCAAGTATATCATTGTTGGATTGCAAATTTGAGTGTGTATTGAAGGTGTGTTGATGAAATTGCATGTATTATTGGTGCAAATTTGTGATCGTCATACTGCACTGAACTACGTGGAGTTCATTAGTATGTTGTTGAACGTGTTTTGTTCAATTTAGATTGATGAATTCATCTCCATTGGCTTTGAGTATGAAAATACAATGACAAAACAAATCGGAAAAGTTATCACATGGTTAATAATGATGTGTTCAAACAAAAATCTATGCATTTGGTGCTCTCCTCTCCAATTGGATCTTGTCGTCAAGCAAGTTCTTAATTACGTTGAAGATGACAATTTTTACGATACAATTCATGCTTTTTCAATTTACCTACGATTGCAAGTCAACATGGTCAACAACATCGGAATATCTAAATGTTTCAAAAACACAATATGATGGATTGCATTTCATAATCTACTCAAATGTGTTTTAAAAAAATGCAAGCAAATTCGTCAACATATTGAATAATTGCGTTTCTTGCCAACTTTATTTAATAAGTGATGAATCATTGATGTGTTATTTAATCTACTTTTTGAAACGATTTAAATTATATCCACAACACTGCAGAGGCGTAACATGATCATCTTGCAACAACGTATTGAACTGGACAATTTGATGACAAATATATGCAAAATTGATATTTTCTTAAAACAATATGGTCTATTCAGTGATGTCGAATATCAAAATTCAAAATATATGTTGTTAAACAACAATAAGTGTATTTTAATTAATTTGATTCGTAATCATATTGATGATCAGAGTTCGTGGACACGATATTCATTCTTGGAATTGGATAACAATAATAAAAATAACTTTATCAAAGTAATTGGACATTTTTCTTTATCAATTGTAATCCAAGCATCATCACTCAGGCGGAGCGCGACTTAAACGATAATGCTTGTGAGCATGAAGTCTCGCCAGTTAAGTCTGTCAACATAGTCAAGTTGCTGACACACAATTCATTAATGAAATTCTATATCAATTTTGAATGCATGTAGAGAAACACTAGTCATCAGAGGATATTGATCAAATTGAAAAAGATCACAAAGAAGTGCTAAATGTGTCAAAAAACAAGGTTGTTGTGAAGACGGAGCTTCAAAATCATGACAAGAAGACATTTTTTTGATGATGCATGGACTTCAATCAAATCAATCAAGAAACATGGTTCCATACGATTTTTCATGTTGAGTAATTTAAGTGAATGTCTTGTATTGACAATTCAGTCAGAATGTTATAAGTGACTGGAAAATTAATTCTTGTTTTTTAGCCGATTGCGGATATAAATTGAAGTGAGACATGATCATATGATGAAATCTGTTCTAATAGATTTAGCCGGGAGTTCGTATATCGCATGGAGATCAACTTTGCATTATTTGTTGGGAATGAGTTTGTCACTACGTGCATAAGAAATAGGTGGAAGATCGAAGGCTCAACTACATTGGAAAGAGAAGGAACCAAAGAGCATGCATCTGTAACGACGTGACACCTCCATTCTACTGAAAAAAATTCACCTTATAATTTGGGTTTAAAATGTGCACTTCACTGCTATCTCGAATTGATGTAGTCTGTTACTTTGAAAAGTTGACGTTGGCAAGGAGTTCTTCAATCACAAAATTCACACCTTTGAACGATTGTATAGCATATTTCTTTCTATCAGTACTAACGTACGTGCAATGTCATATCTCGCCTGGACATTCAACGAACTAGAATGGAATGAAGGAAATGCCTCCTTTCTTCTTGGCGGGAGCTTGCTTAGAGTTTCTTGCAACGGGATGAAGTGATGTTTGTCTTTTGACTAAAAGTGCAAAAATGCAGAGTGCATTTTTGCAACCGAAGAAAAGAAGCAAAGAGTATTTACGTAGATTGCAAAGGTTTTCTTAAACTCCGATGTCAAATTATTCTAGTTATGAAATTGAGTTTCTCCGTAGTCTTAGGATTGAAGACATGTGATGTCACTCATCTTATCCCCAGGTTTTGAGGAGGAATACAATTCACGTCTCGTGGATTCCAAAATCCACGAGACGTGAATTTTGGAAGTTGGCAGTTGAAGTTTTATATATTCATTGTTAGATTCAAGAACCTCAAACTAATTTCTTCTCACGTACAATCTCACTGTACTTTGAGTATAGTCACCGCGAATAATCATGCGCCCTGTTCACGGACTATTTTGAATTCTCTTTAGACATGGATGGCATTGGGTGTCCGGTGGACATGATATGAGAGCGGAACCTAAATTAGTCACAATGTAGAAGCAACACTCCTTGACGTTGTTCTGTAATAAGCACAATCTCTTACGGTTTCAAGACTATCACAACAATTTTTCAATATAAATGCCACATTTCAAAAATGTTGCGTGCCACACATAACGAAGAGTGGCAAATGCCACTTTTAATGAAATGTGGACTAGAGGCAGAATACATGCAACTACTTGAGTAATTATTATATTTTTCAAAGTTTGAGTCATGACATGACGCAGCAACTCTTGACCACGTTTCAATCCAGCAGACAGGGCAGACTAAATCTTCGCGAGAGCACATTGCGTCATCCAAGCATCAATGCGGCGAGAAAGGTACACATTTGAACAGCTCTATGATTTCAAGGATCTGCTGAGCAGAGTGTTCATTAAAGTCAGTTGCACTCTAGTATTTTACTATCAAGGTCTTTCCGAATAAGAGGCCAGGTATGGTCCTTACCATAATTACGACAACTTTTGCATCCACAGCTACTGTCAAAGTGTCTTTTTTGCGTAATTTTATTCCATGTATTGTTCTTAGAAAAACACTTATCCCTATGCATATGACTATGACTTGCGCAAGATTTTACACAACTGCACAATCTCTGCTCTTAACGTGCCAAGTAACTCATATCATCTGAACTCATTGCATGGTATGTTTGCAACAAAATTCACCAAAACGACAAATCCGAAGGGGGATGATTATCGAGGCGCACCAGCAGTACAGTACAGTACAAGACCCGGACAGACGACGGACGGACAGACAGACGGAGACACGCCTGACATCTCCATACAGCTTCGCTTGGGCTGGCGACAGGTGGCGCGGGTTCACAAATGGACGGAGGTGGCCGGTCCCGTCGACGGATGGGGGCGGACGGAGATCTTCTTTAAAAAGGGGAAATTAGTGATTTTTCAGAAATGGAGTTTCGGAGGAAAGTCAGTCTCTCTCTCGTACAGGGAACCAGGAGACGAGTTCGTTGGATCGCCCAGCACGGAGAGGACAAAGAAGCCAAGAAGGACGAGGGCAAAAGCAAACGGGGCTCGAGCAACTCGATGCCTCGGCTCCTTCTTTTCTCGACCTCTTCGATTTGGTTCGTTCGGATTTGCGCGTTGCGTGGAAGGAGGTAGAGAGGCCAGGTCTGGGACTCGCGCTGTCTGGCTGGCTGTCACTTGCCTCCCGAGAGTCAAGCAACTATTCTTCCCAAGGGACAATATATATTTCTTCGTTTAAGTGGAAGAGAAACTAATTTCTTCAGAGGAGAAAGAGGTTGAAGTAAAAAGATCTCGCGACACCAAATCTTTCAGCAGTGTTCACCACTCAAATAATTTTAATTATGAAATAAATGCAGTCAGGATACTTAAGAATTGAAACTATTTTACCGAAAGGTGTAAGGGTGGCCTTCAATAAGCATCCTCCCAGGATTTTGTCTATAAATGGAGTCTTCAGACAATACATTGAGTGCTGATTCAGCACTCAAGGTATTGCCGTTTAGCTACAGCACTGCTGAAGCTAAACGGCAGAATATTCTTCATGCTTCTCTATAGAACTCACAGAAGCTGCAAATGTAGCACGAGCTGTGGAACCAGGGGAGAGAAATTACAAAACAAAGTGAAAGATGAAAAGAGCGAGAGTACTCCGCAAGCGTTTAATAGATTTAGTCTTTGACCTCTCTTCCTTAAAAGCTGAAGCTCTAACAAAGTTCTGGATGCTGATACAAATAAATACAGTCTTGTATAATAACATTTTGTTGGGTACAATGGGCAATTGGACTATGCTAAGATTCCATCAAGCGGTACCACACTGAAACTAACGCGAAACGGCAATGAAAACTATCGGCATACCAATGGCAAATCTAACTTATTGTTCAGATTATACATTTATTCCTATCGACAATTTACAGCATTGTAAATGCATGGTTGTGCACTTCAGATCTCCAAATCATCTATCAAACACGATCAAATTAATTAATTACAAGATATGTGAATATTACATTAAGAATCGAATTTTTTATCAGATTATGATATGAATAATTTCAGTTATAATCATATATCAACCATCTTAGAGTCCGTATAATGGATTCATTAGAAATTCTTCATATTTTTTTCTTTTTATATTGTATTTTCTTTCATCATGGTTTAATATATATATATGAGCAATATAGTTATACGCAAGACAAAGGGTTGAAATGATTAACTCTTATTTTATCTACATAGAAGAAAGTTTATTTTTACTTATAGTATGTATACAAAGTCATATTTTATATTTTATATTTTGATTACAAGATTTATAGTTTTTTGAAATTATAAATTGTAAAAGTAACTAGAAAAGTCTATATGATTATGTTAGTCATGAGTATATTGAATAAAAAATTATTATGTTTAGTTATATATCTAATATTTGATAGAATAAGTAAAAGAAATTTAAAACAGAAAACATAAATTTATGTTTCTTGAACCCTTATCTAGATTTCAAATATTGCAAAATTAGATTCTAAAAGTCTTTCGTTCTCAATGACATATTGTCATATCCACTTAGTCACTTTAAAAAAAATAATTTCTAGGTAGACTAATGAGTGATATTTAGAAATTAGATAATGAAGTGATAAATAAATGAATAAATAAAAAAAATCGTGTGAATATTCGTTTCATAAAAAAATATTATAATTAAAAATTTATTGGCTCGTCAATGAAAGTTTTTGTTGAATGAAAGATTATGTGAAATAATGTTTGTTCACGAGCATGTTGATGCCACAGTATTATCTGGAGGGCGACGTGACAAAGCTACGCATTCAATATGCACACACCGAGCATTTTGTACAGTCTTATGTACTTTGAGGATCTAGGTTAGTACGGTAGTCATGTTCGGTGGGCACTAGGTACATTTCTTTGACAATTCAATGAATATAGGGCGACTACATTGAGTTTTGTTCAAGTCGGGAGAACAATGAATGGATGGGAATTCCAAGTCCATGAAAGATCCAAAAGGGCCATAATACAACAAAGCCAGAGAATAAACGAACCACAAACACATGAGATTTGATTGACAAGCTTGCACTACATGATGAGAGTATTGAGCAAAACACTGCCGATCTTTGCGGAGGAGGGAAGAAGGTGTAGGCATTCCACATATAAAAAAATTATCACATATTGAGAGACGAAGGTCGTGGTCTGGTTCTTACATTTTGGACTGTTGTTTCCTTGGAACTTGGATTTCAGAATCGAACATAGTATTCAAGATTGCAACTATGCTGCTATCAAGTGAAAGGAAACTGCTGGATCACGTGCTCCAGGCCCACTTGGCTGGCTTGATCACCGTCATTCCAGAACGTTGGTTCTTTTAGCGCATGGTTCCAGAAACATACCAGAGGTTGTCAGTCAAACTGTAGCTTATGGCTATGTAAAAAATCGGACGCCAAAAGCAAATGGATATTAATTGCAGAACAGAAAGTAAAAGTGTAGATGCTTCGAGGCAGTGGACTTCAGGTTCCTGAAATTGCCCGAATTTGAAATCGAATAGTCTTCTTCCAACCTGTCCCTGACCTTCGGGAGTATCGGTCTAACCCGGTCCTGCTCAGTTCGGGCACAAGTTGGAAGTAATCCCTGTTGACACAATGTATCAAAGCAGACTCAGAGATGTATATATTTTTTCGTCCTCTAACTTAAGGCTAGTTCAGTTGGCGGTCTCATTGACTTTCGTCCCAAACTCCCCATAGTCATGTCCAGGGGCTTTTATGTTTTGCTCTCCTCCGGGCGGCTTCCAGGACGACTCCTGTGTTCAGTGCCTGGGCATCGGATTTCTCGGATTTACATTTGACGACGTGACAGTCTTCCGGCCGCTGGTAGTTAATGCGTGCCTTAAATGGTGACATCAGAACATGCTCTGTAAACATAGGACCTCACTGCCAGCCCAACGTAATCTCACGTCGACCCAAGGGGAATCGAAAGCTACTATCACTCCTGTTGCCAAAGTCTTGGAACCGCTACCGTCTAATGCAAATGCTAGATTTGGTACTGGTGACATGTGCCCACTTCTCTAGCCGTTTCTCTTTTAGATCGGATTAGTCAGATCTCGATTCGTCTTCTTCTGATCTCTTCATACCTTTCCAGAAGTCAAGCCGACCATAGTACGCATAGTCTCAAAACCTGGAGATGTTTTCAAGCTCGACAGATTGAGCTTGAGCATGAGACTGATGCCAAGACAAAGAAAGCTTAGCTTGGTGAAATGGATAAAGAAAGCTGGGATATAAGTACTTTTCCAAATAGGTGGCAATCTCGGGCAGAAATTCCCGTGACAAGTGGACTAGCACTCAAAGTTGCATTCCTCGAAGCTGCTGCGACGGGAGATTCCATTAGACTCAAGCCTACACCTCCAGTCAGTTCTCTCGGGCGCTGACCAGATCACGATCTGACGACGAAAAACAACCAGAGCACTGGAATCCTCTTTCTGTCGAGATCCAGGGGATCATAAGTACGTGACGAAAGTTTCGTGCGCATCAACACAATACCTGGTCCCACGTCTAAGGACTTCGTCAAGGATTCCAGAAAAGACTCTTACGGTTTTTACTGTCTCTCACTGAAGTTGGCCTGGCTCTGCTGTGTTTGTCATGTTCCGTTACCTCAAGTCAATGAGGGCTGTGCATAGATAATAATCGCAAGCTTAACGGTGAGTGCGTTCGAAGGTAAGGCCTAGAGTGGACTTCTGTACAGGTGGTGATCATGGAGAAGCAACCTGCTGACCTTGCGCACCGTGTACTTTTCTGGAACAGACCGCACTGTATATATTTTGCAGATCACTATCACAGCTGGCTGGAGCCTTTGGGTCGAGAAGCCATTGGCATGGCATCGTTTACGCATACAGTTCTCTGCAGTTCGACCGACGGACGGGGCCGATGTAGAGGAGTGCCGAGCTGAATGAAAACAGAGCATGAATGCAAAGCAGGCCGAAGCTGGTCCACTGGGGAACACTGAGGCGTCTGCCCTTTCCTAGCCTGAAGTTCCCGATACATATGTCTAAAAACGATGATGGCTTCAGCACACTTGGTAGCCGCGTTCGTAATCTTCGCTTTCTTTTCAGAAATTCCGCGGACATCTGCTCAAAGTAATGTAAATGACTATTTTGATCAAATGGAGGCGGATGTTAAAGAACTTGCCAGAAAGCTCGGTGAAATCTTCAGCTCTCCATGCGGTACGTGATGTGGGATGAAGCTTTAACCTCTCTCAAACATGTTAACAATCTCAGGACGTTGCAACTGCTTTATGCTTGAGATTACGACACGAAGTCTTTTCGTCTTTGCGATTCTGAAACCTGCAACAGGTAACGACCCTTCATGCCCGAATGGATGCTCCCAAAGTATGTGCCAACAACTGGCCAACAATCTACCGATATCGTACATCAACGCCTCCGCGAGCGTGAGTATACTCATCTTCGCTAATTGTACGCAATTTCTTTCAACCCTCTGCAAGACCTTAGATTCTTTCCTCAAGTTTTTGGTCAGCCAAACCCTTGCAAGGACCTCTAATGTCATCACCATCCACTTGCTTCAGGCAGACATCTAATCCTGTGAATGAAGCTGGCTGACAACTGGTTGTAAATTTGCCTCGTCAAGTTGGTAGCATCCTGCAATGCACTGGCAATTGCAAGCAAGTAAATTGGAAGCAACCATGGTTTCTCATTGACGGAGCAGGTTCAGCCATTCTGTGACAAATTATTGGACATGGAACTCTTCCGGCTGACACCAGTCCGTTACACGCAGGATTTATATAACTGCACGAAGGCAAAGTTTCCTGCCTCCAACGTTTGCCCTTCAATACAGGTCACGAGATCCAACAGCTCCGTCACATACTTTAGGTATGTGTATGTGCAAGGATACCATCAGCTTATATTATGGTATTATAATCAGGAGATGTCGCACGCAGAAACACTCCTGGGTGACGGCCGTGACTGTTGTATTTGTGTGCTTGATTCGAACCGATGCTGCATTCTCAAGAGCTTTAGTGATTGTTTTAATCCATTGATGACGAGAACCAGCCTCCGTTGTCGAATGCCTGACGGGGATAAAATTTGTTGTCTGTAGTTATGGTGGTCAGGATCAACCTTCGGATGTCGAGAGCAGCTCAATCTGCAGGACTCAGCTGCTGGACGAAACATTCCAGAATGTATCCAGCAAAGTGAATTACTACTTGGACTACTACGTGGGACTGATCGACGGCACCCGTCGAGCCTATCCAGGAAGGGTAGGATGATCTAAAGCCATCTCCATTGCTCTCGTGGATGCACATCCTTGCATGCTTCCAGTGGTGCCAATTTCCTCGGGGCTGATCGTAGTCTCGGGGTTCTGGAGCACATTCAGTGACGGTGACTTAAGATCATGTATGAAATTCTCTCTCAGGAGGAGCAACAAGACTCATGCCTTCTGTACGACAGCAGGATTCGTCCGTGGTACAGCGGGGCGATCACGTACCCGAACCATCTCGTCATTCTGGTGGACATCGGGCATTCAATGACCGACCCCTTGAAAACGGCCCCATCTGGACTTGACACGAAGCTCCATGCGGCGCAGAACTTTTCCTTGGCGCTGCTGAGCACAGCTTACAAAGACAACTACATCAACGTCGTCAGCTTCGGCGGGGCCCAAAACGATAGCTACACGCGATCAGTACGTGTCTCCCCCGTGCTCTCAGTCGGACCAGCCGTCCTTTGTGTCCTGTACGCCCTCCATTCCGTGCATCGACATTCGTGCTCTCTCCCAGAGGATTGACCGAGTGAGGTGGGTTCTCGCAGTTGCAAGTGGGTTTCAACTACGATAATCCGTCCATCCACAAGGAGCTAGCCACTCTCAATTTAAAAATTCTCAATTTCACAAATCAGACCTCGGTGCTGAACACGGACGTGACCGCCTTCGTGACGGGGCTGAACACCACTCTGCGGGCTTTTTCGGACTCGACGCTGCCGAATGCTCAGTTGTACAATCTGAGCAAAAATATCGTCCTCTTCACTGACGGCAGCTTCGCCAGCCAGGACATTCTGAATGATCCATCGGTTGTCGCAGCCATCGCCGAGCTCCAGGCGAACAATGTGAATCTTTTCGTGTACTCGGACGAGCTTTCCGTCGGCCTCCAGAGCCTGACGGCTGAGATGAACGGCAGCTACACGGTATGGGCGAGCAATGACAACCCTCTGCACGAGATGCGATCATACTTCGGATACCTGGCCGCCTCCCACAGAAATCTCTTCAACGATACGCCGTTTTGGATCGACAATTACAGGGACGCCTACAACATTTCAGACATCATCACCGTGTCGATGCCCGGTAAATTGAAACATACCCCGTTGCTGTGAACTCTGTCCTAGAGCTATTCCACACCCTCCGACAGTTCTCTCTTCGTTCGTGCATACAATTTCTTGGGTCTGAGGCCAATGGTCCATTGAAGTATACACGCCCCTAGACTTCCCCACGCTGACAAATTTCAATAGCTGGTAATGCATCGATGGTATTCGTTTTCATTCTTCCATCATTGCTGATATCTGTTCTGAGTCCAGCGATGCTTTCAAGGGAGCTGAGCAGCCCCAAGGCTGAATCTCCTTCGAATGACGTATCATGAGGATTGATGTTTGTTCTCAAAGTTCCAGATTGTGATCAAGATCGTTTCTGCAGGATGACATGTGGTCTCTCTCTCTCTCTCTGGCGTTATGAACAGCATTCGATCAGGACAAGTTCGTCGGCGTTGCAGCGATAGACGTACCCTTCCCGCAACTCCCCAGAGACGACATGAATAACTTAGGGCAACGGCGTACTACTCGGGACAATACGTTGGAGAGCGCTTCCAGTTCGACACGAGCTTCGTCCGTGCCTCCTATATTTGTGAGTTCTTCGAGCCTTCGTATTTCCGACTCTGCGAGTCTGACCCAGATGACTGGCCTCATCCTCTCACAAGCTCTGTAACAAGTGCACGCCTCTTCCCAACGTTTTCCCGTCTCTTAGTTAATTTTGGCCGGATGACCAAGAAGGTTTCCTCAAATTGAAGATACACATCCTATTTGGCTCCAAATCCACTGATCTCGGTGCCATAAGGAGTTCGCATTGCTCTACAAAGCTTTCCTTACCTGGTGCTATAAACACTCCTTCAAGCTGCGACATGATCTCTTGTTTGTAGACATTTGAGTGAATCAGACGATGATCCTTGATGTGATCTGCTTGTCCTGGTTCACATTTTCATAGACAGAAGAAGTACTGGGCCCGGTGGCGTTTGGAAAATTTGGATGACCATACATATTCTTTGCTGGCAGGATGACTACAACTGCGGCACATCGGGCTCGATGTGCCAAGGACCACCACAAGAATCGTTCAACAAGGAAGCATTCCAGGATCGGAAATGTAGGAACTTATGTGCAGACCAAGAAGACAACAAGGTCAAGGAGATAGTCATCGGGACTGTGGTTGGTGCCATATTCGCAGCGGCAGTGTTTGGGACTGGTGCCTTTTTGTGCATGCGGCGAAGAAAGAAAGAAGCTCGGGAAAGAGGATCATCGGGGACGACAAACGTAGATGCCCGCATCACTGGAGTCCAAGAGGAAGCTAAAAAACCACCGAGTGAAACGTGGGGAGATCCTTTGTAGAGAAAATTCGAGTCACCGGATTACACGTGCGTGCACATGCGCAGGAATCTCGTGCTGTGATGATTTCTAGTCATTATGCTTTCCTCAACTTGCGCAGTTCGATTATCGTCGAGTTGCAATGCTCTACCCAATCAATATCATGGTACTTGCTTTTTCTCCTGGCAGTGTCCATGTACATTGCTCCCCAATGATGATACATAGGTTGTACTACGTACCGATCCCATATGTTAAAATTCCCACATCCATCATCAGAGAATAGAGACAAAATAACATTTTTTAACAATTTGATGTCCTACTCTAATTCCATAAGATATTGATTGCGGCTTTCTTCGAACCTCCAAGAGAGCATATTACATCAGAGGGCAAGATTTAGCAATGTCATCGAACATCCAGAAACGAATCTGACCACCGTCATCGGAAAGGAAACGATCGACCACCTACCCAATCAGGTGTGTTTCATTGTAGGCAAACGATTCGTGAGATGATGAGTGTCCAAATTTAGAATTTTCAAGGAGTCCCTTAAGTGCTTTCACATATCAGAGGGATCTCCAGTGGCACTGTAATGAAGGTGGCAAACTACTGCTGGTGGCCGTGAGAAGATAGTTCGATCTTTAGAAATTTCCGTTGGACCTGTGTTACTTTTGTTCTCCTCGGTAATTAATGCTACCATACGAGAGCAATGAGGAAAACTACTAACCTTGCGTTCTTGTAGACTCGGCACATGAAAGGGTCGTGCTAAAGTTTGGCTTTTAAGTTTCGAAGTTAGATACTCGATGATTTCATCTTCCACGACCTCAACTCGGTGTAAAGAGGTGGTTAATCAGATCACGACGACTAATGTTCTTTTCTACGTTGAATGCGTTCATGTTTGCAGTGATCAGCTCACAAGTGTCGTACAACCAACAAAAGCGAACGAAACCGTGGCAAGAGTAGCTGCATAGCCCTTGCACACAAGGTATACCACGAGTGGGCGGGACAAGGATTGAGCTGCCGTGGGCCTTCGTCTCATTCAAACTGGGGTCAAATCCATTTCAGATTTTATGCAAAATTCATAAGGTCTTAAAAAAATCGAAAGAGATGATGTGTCCCCGTCACCTTGATGCCTACGGACTTGACGATTGTTCCATGAATGGACACGAGATTGAATGATCTATAACAAGCAATGGAAGATGCTCCGAGCTAGATTTCAGTCAGGACGTTGTTGCATCAGTCAAGATCCTTCGACGACCACAGATTCAAGTCCTTTGGGACAGATGAGACGCTATACTCTAATTGCTTGGCCTCAATTCTTCCTTACACCAGCTGGGTACAATGAAATCAGGGAATTTCAGCTTTACCCTCTCGCAGATCCCTGCGTTTCTAGCAGAAGTGGAATATGACCTTGCAGTCTCAGGGACCCGAATCATATTGTCGTCGGTCAAGTGGACCCGAGTCAAGTCAACGAGATGGTTGTCACTTTCTCCACTAGGTCCAACTGTTGCCACGTAGACTCGCTACTAAATTCTGTACTCGGACCGCTAAATTTGTGTTGGAAAGATCGAACAGTTTCCAAGTCAGAACACACAAAAAAATCTTGTCCCTTGGAGTTCTCCAAGGTCAAGGCTCCAGGACCTATGAGTCTCTTTGGTGCTGATAGCTTTACACACAAGACCGCATGGGTTCTAAGAGTCGCGATTGAGTGATGATGTCTACAAATCCTAGATTAGACCGAACGACTTCAGAGGCTTGCAAATGCTGGCATGAGCTGTTCACTTCTCCAGCCGAGTCCACAAGTGCCCATTATGTCGGCTACTTTCCCAGGGATCTGAAAAGTATATTGGGTATGATATTATTATCAGAAATACTAGATATTGTACTGAAAAATCTATGCTGAAATATAATCTAAAATAATGCTGAAATTCAGTAAACGTTCAGAACTATAATTTTTTGGAAAAACTGGCATGATGAAAACTTAAGTAATTTTTAGTGATCAATGATATGTTTATCAAGTATCACCGTTGTTCGTTCATCTAATTGAACAACGGCAATATTCCTGATTTGGGATTACTTGATCCCAAATCAGGCGAGGATGATACTTAATGATGCCATTGACCAGAAGGAGAAATTGCGCCTCAGTGGCGCTGAATGCCATGAACTCCACCATCACATTCGCACGATCGTTCTTGTCGTTACGATACAAAAGCTGGATGGCCTTGTGAGCTTGAGCGTGTAGATCGACTGAAGAGTATCTAAGCGTGGCGGCAACATTTTTTTGAAACTGGGAGTAGAATGGATGGCAAACGAAAGCCACCGCGTGCACAAGTGAGTAAATTTGATCCCACCGGTATTCTAGACGTTCAAACGTTTGGTTGCGATCTTCATCACTGCACGTGTTACAAGTTGCACGCGAACGTAAACAACCGCGGCATAGGCGATGGACATGATAAATGTGTCGTTTTCCAGAATTCTGCAGATTGGAACAAAGAGTGTCACGCAACAATCATTGTTTCTCCAAAATGTTGGAGATTGTATAGTCGTGAAAAAGGCGCCGTCTAGCTCATAGATCAAGTCGATGCCAAGTTCCTCCTTGTAGTCATCACAAGCATGGGGCAGATCTTAGATTGAAAGTTTGGCTCGTTTCAAGCGACAGAACATGTGGTTGACGCTGCCCTAGCGTCACGGTGAAAATAGCACCATGGAGAGTACCTTGTCCAATTGGTCCTCGCACAACAAAATGTACACCTTACCAAACAAACTATAGTTCTTGATGAGTTTGCTATCGAACAGTGCTTCCTTCACGTGTACATTGTACGGATGTATCTCGAGGAAGTCTTGGATGTGCGCCGCACCCGTACACCCATTAGACGATGTTTTTGCTTTCCAAAAGACGACGCATCGCACACCTAACATTACACAAATTGGAGATGAACGCCGAAATGATTTGTGGACGTTGCAACTTGATCTCGCTCATCACATCAGCAACCTTCTTGCACACCTCGACAGCCGAATCTTTCAGCCGAAACCTTGGTTGCACCGTCCAACTAAAACAATCGCCACCGCATTGCTCAATGACTTATATATGATGGCCTGCTGGGTGTCGTAGATATTGCGCAGCAAGATGGTGCTGATTGCTTTCGGATTTGGCGGCTTTCAAAATGGCATGGCCACCTGCCAGAGCATTTGTCGTGCCTGGTGGTCAAAGTAATTTATGGATGATGGGGTCCCATGCAAGGCCGTAGCCATCAACTGGTTCAACATTTTTTTTTTCAACTGATATTAGCGATAATTACACTTTGGTGCCCAACAGTTTCCCTACGGCAGTTTTCATGACTACCGCCTAGGGAGGAATTGTAATTGTCAATGTCCCGGCTGAGTACAGCTCCAACACACAAGTCTTGGCCCGTTTCGCAGATTGACAGTTTGTCAAATGCATCCTTTGATTTGTCGTTCAATCAAACACGGATTTCTTGCAGTGGATGCATTTCACTCCCAGTATCTTCAACATTTCCGTGGCATAGAAATCGGAGAAGTTCTCCCTGTTGTAATTTTGATGACGATCACGCGCACTCATGGTTCAGCAAGAACCAATTGACAAATGTTCTCAAGAGTCAGGTTTCTCCCACATTTTCTAGAAAAAACTACAATCCATCTATTTTATAATAACTTCAAAAACATTTAAAATGTTTCGATATTGCTATGCCACAAAACACAAATTAATGAATTATTGCTATTGGACTATCCAATCTATTAGTTTTCATTATTTTGTTTTCTCTAAAAAGAGAAAATTACTTGATGTAATACATTGAAGCACAAATAGATCATTGGATCCATCAATTTACTCTATGGATCGCTAAGTTCTAATAAGTATTCTTGTAAGTAGATGATGTCGGCTATAGAGTTAGGAATTGACTAGTGCGAGTATTCACGATAAGTGGCACGGTCTGCAAGTGGTTTAAACGGTGCAACCAATGATGACATGACAATCAACGTTGTCGAGACCGGACCTAGACAGATATAATGATGGGAACTTGAGTCATAGATTGAGATTTCTTCTGAGTTCATCACCATTTCTTCTTTCCATGTGATAAAAGATAACGTGACTCCTTCCATAAGATCGTTTACTATGACTCCGTTTTTTACAAGGGATTGCAATCACTCTCATAAGTATAACAATAACATGTTTTATCCATGGATCTTTTTTTTGGGTTACATCCGTCTATCATTGGAGCGTATAATAAATTATATATATCCATTGTGTGGCTCCGCTTGCACTGCTTAATGTGGTTGGCTTTATTTTTACCAATTAAAATTGTAATGAGTAACATTCAGATTTGAAATCTAAATGTTTGTAGTTCCATGGAAGTATAGGTTCTTGTGGATTCAATAAATTTATTTTTGAATCTTTTCCTTCAAAATGAATTTAGACTTAGTCTAAGCACAGACACTTGGTAGCGAGCCGGTTTCTTTGTATTTTACCTGAGCTTCTGTACTGGCGAATCGAAGACTCTTTCGGGTCCATGTCCACCAGCAACTATCGATCGCCACCTGAGCTCTTGTCGTATGGACAAATACAAAATCTTCAATGGTGACAGACATTCGTTCGCCTCGAACATTCCTGAAACCCACAAGATGGGACTCTCTTACCGAACTGAGATCGGTAAGATCTCCGATCGTCTATCGGAGATCGCCGATCTCCGATAGACGCCGCGGAGTAGCCGTCCCGTGCATTTACGACAACTGGACCATTCAACGATACGCAGAATATTCAATCGTAATGGGATATATTCCCTTCAATTTTGGGAATGCGGGTTCCTATTTTGATTACCGCGGCATATTGTGAACTCGATCCATATGTCCAATGATTCCAATCTCTTTGAGATAATGCGGGAGGGCGTTGAAGTTTGGAATTACATGAGATGGATTCATGACTAAAGGTCAAATTTGCTAGCATTAAGTTGGACAAGGCGGGCGGGCAACGGACGCTCCCAGATAGTTGCAAAGCATTTGAATGCCATCATGATTCGAACGAAACCATTCGAACCGCTACTGTTATATATAGACAGCAACATCACCACTGTGCAATTTCTATTCTGCGTTCTCGGGCGCAAAAAACGTGAGTATGTGAAACATCAACAAACCAAGAACACACAAGCTGTTCTAGTTCCAGTTCCGTTTCGAGACCTACAAACCATAACGAGTCTCAACATCCTGGATTGGGCGAGTTACGAATTACTTTTGCAATGAAAAGAACGTCCATTTTTTCAAGAAACATTATGTCTGTGGCATTCACCGTACAAGGACACCCTTCAGTTTGTCATTCCAGATGAAAACAATCCGTCCAGACCGATCACCAATACCAACTCCATGAAGTTGTTCGAACTACAGCAGAACGGATCATACCGATCACCAAAGCCAATGTCATGAAGTTACTTCAAGCTTGTCGCGGTAACTATAAAGATCAGGACCCAA